CCTGGGGCTCTGTGGTCTGGAGCTGAAACTGAAGGATCCCAGGTTAGGGTCTAAAGAGCCTGGGCTGTGGGGGGATCCAGCTCTGGGTCCACTCGGCCCCTGCTCCCAGGCGGCTCCTCACACCCTTCCCCCACCCACTGTACCACCCAGAGCCCCCCAAGGTGAGGCTGGAGGGCCGCAGCACCACCTCACTGAGTGTCTCCTGGAGCATCCCCCTGCCGCAGCAGAGCCGTGTGTGGAAGTATGAGGTCACCTACCGCAAGAAGGTAACTCACTAAGGGTCGGGGCTGGCCCCAATGGCCCAGAAGCAGGGGACAGTCTGATCACATAGATTCTCACTGCACCACACAGCCATCTGAAGAAGCTCCCTCTGCAGGTGGGGAAACAGAGGTCTGGGGCCTCCCACAGAGTCACATCTCCAGGGCCAGTGCAGCAGAGATTTGTAGGAGAGAACACGTGGTTTTCTGCATCCTCAGGAGAGGCAGTCGGGGTGAGGGGGAGAGCAGGGTCTTTGGGATCAGACAGATCTGGGTTTGTGTCCTGGATCATGCATTTCTGGTTGTGGCCTTGAGTGAGTCACTTCTCTGAGCTTCGGTTTCCTCCTCTGTAAGGCGAGCATTAAGCTAGCTGGGGGTGGTCTCTGGTGGGCTGCAGTGAGGCCCCCGCCCTCCCCTCATCGCCTGCTCTTCGCCCGTTGGCCACCACAGGGGGACTCCAACAGCTACAACGTGCGCCGCACTGAGGCCTTCTCCGTGACACTCGACGACCTGGCTCCGGACACCATCTACCTGGTGCAGGTGCAGGCGCTGACACAGGAGGGCCAGGGGGCCGGCAGCAAGGTGCATGAGTTCCAGACACTGTGTGAGTTGGGGGACCAGGATGGGGGCCAGGCCAGGGCCTTGAAACTGAGCAGATGGGACATCCTGAGAGGAGGAAGTGGATGGACCTTAGAAATGCCCCCCTCCTGGTCAGCCAGGACCTGGGATAGCTGCATGGGTTGGCCCCAAGCCTGGGGAGGGGTAGAATTGAAAGGGGAGGGGCGTGGGGTGGAGGACCAGGGCTCTGGCTTTGGCAGACCCAAGTTTGAATCTTGTACCACAGAAAGAGCCAGAGCTTAGAGTCCTGCACACCTGAGAATAGCTACTGTGAGCCATTTGGAAGGCTCCTCATTGAGCATCTGTGAGATGGGAATAAAGGTCCTCCTGAGCCTTCACAGAACATAGCAGAGGCCCAGGTGTCTTAGCTCTCTAAAGCGGGCCTTGGGTATAATAGAGGGGTATTGCCATGATTTGGGGTGGGGGCTCCCTTGTCATCAGCTGGTCTCCCCCAACAGCTACAGGAGCTGGCAATATGGCTGTGATTGGTGGTGTGGCTGTCTGCGTTGTCTTGCTCCTGGCGCTGGCAGGAATCGGCTTTTTCATCCACCGCAGGTGTGTGTGAGCTCACACCGGGCTCCCCAAAGGCCTGGTGGGACACAGAGGGGCAGAAATCACGGTTTCCCCATGTGAGAATTGGGGCCGTAGTAATCTAATCTAGTCTAGTCTTATCTGCTCTAATCCTGGCCTCCCAGATGGTGTGCAGGTGTAAGCTGTAAGTGCTTAGCAGTGCCTGGCACATGGTGGGGCTCAGGCACAGTGGTCATTACCTGCTCTTGTTATTAACGGTGTCCACACACCTTTTGGACATGCAGGCAGGACGTGGCTACTCAGAGACTATCCCGAGGCACAGATCCCAAGGAGTCCAGGCTCCCCCATTTCCCCTCCCTGTGCCCTCACCCCCATAGTGGAAGTTGAGCAGATTTGAGTACACCAAGTCCCCCTTCAGGACCAGAGCAGGGGACAGGGCTCCCCTGGGCAGAGCAGGCCTGGCTCACTTCCTGTGTGTTTGCTTCCCCATGGGATTTTTCAGGAGGAAGAACTTACGAGCCCGCCAGTCCCCAGAGGATGTTTACTTCTCCAAGTCAGGTGAAGTGCAGCCCCCATGCCATGCCAAGCCCCGCCCGCCCTGCCCCTGCCATCCCCAGGAGCCTTGCTAACTCCGTGGCCCTGGTGGGGGCCGCCAGGGTGTGCCCAGGGCTCTGGGAGAGGGCCCAGAGGTTTCCTTGGGCAGCTCTAAGGGGCTGGCGAGAAGGTCCTTACCCCACAGCTTGGTCTGAGGCTCCTGGGCACGTGGCCATGGCCACCTCCTTCTCTAGGGCTCACTGGGACCCGTTCTGAGCCTTCTGTGACCCCATCCCCTTTCCCCCTTACAGAACAACTGAAGCCTCTGAAGACGTACGTGGACCCCCACACATATGAGGACCCCAACCAGGCAGTGCTCAAGTTCACTACTGAGATCCATCCATCCTGTGTCACGCGGCAGAAGGTGATAGGAGCAGGTGAGGTTGGCACAGCTGCTGAGGGGCCCTAAGGAGGCAGGTGGTGGGCTGTATGGGTTGGGAGTGCCCACCACCCGGGCTGACCAGGATGCTCCTGCCACCTTGCCTGCCTGCAGGAGAGTTTGGGGAGGTGTACAAGGGGACGCTAAAGGCATCCTCAGGGAAGAAAGAGGTGCCTGTGGCCATCAAGACTCTGAAAGCTGGCTACACAGAGAAGCAGCGGGTGGACTTCCTCAGCGAGGCCAGCATCATGGGCCAGTTCAGCCACCACAACATCATCCGCCTGGAGGGCGTTGTCTCCAAATGTGAGGCTCAGGGGACCCGCAGGCCCTGACCCACCTGGGGGTGGAGAGGGGCTGCCCACCAGGGCCACATGACAGAAGATCTGTCCATAGCTGTGCCCACCTGCCCCTATGCCTGTGTCCACCTCCCCCAACACCTGTGTCCCCCTCTCCCTACGCCTGTGCCCACCTCCCCATGCCTGTGCCCACCTCCCCCACGCCTGTGCCC